GGAGGCAATTATGCAATGACTTGACAAGGGGGGAAAATATATAAATGGTTCTTTTTAATTAAAATAATTCGTTATGGGTTAAGGGGAATACATTTAAAGAGGAGAAACAAACACTTAAGAAGTCAAGCTGCTTAAAAGAAAATGTATTTTAATTGTAAATAATAACAAAATCAATATGTTATATATTATTGGAATTATTTACAATACATTTTATACATTATAGTAATTGTTTACAAGATATTCCCTCTCTTCTTGACCTTATGATGCCTTATGATCTGAACTATCCCACCTTATGATATCCCTATAAAAAAATATGCAGAGGTTGCAGCCACAACTGAACTCTCTGCTAATTCCTTCATCAGGTCAGTGTCCTGTCCCATTTGAAACTCATTCCAAAACTAGCCACGAAGGATCTTTTTTACGGCTCAAAAACCCCTTTTTCCCCCTTCTTATCCTAACAACAATTTGGGTCTACTTAGTCACTTAATCTCAATTTCAAATTCCCTCAATTTTTGTAGGGATTCTGGGAAAAAATCCTTTTCCACTGACCGCACACAGCAGCTGCTGGCAATATACTTTCTTTTTATCTTATCCTTGGCTACACTTTCACCTTTTTGGCCATCAGAACTTTCTTTTTCCTTTTTCCAGGCGATCGTGCGGCAATAAATTTCCTAATGCTGTCAGCAAATAAAGTAGAAACACGTTTTCCCCTAAGAAAAGTGTCCACGAAATTGTGTAATTTTTAACCCAAAAAAAGGTGAATAAAACGCCAGGACGATTAAAAATATGTAAATCAGGAATAGAACTTTCTTCTCTATTTTTTTTTTATATAAGGAAACTTTTCCGGCAAATTTGTGGCTAATTTATGAGACCAATTCAGGTAGGGAAATGGGAAGGAGCTGCTTTGCCAAGGGATCTGGCTGTACCTTAAGAAAAGGATATCGCATCCTTATAGGACTTCGAGTGTCTGGAACGTGTTGCATTTATGAGGTTGAACGAAAGCGGAAACGAGTTTTCTTTATGCACGCAACCCCCTTTGCCAAGGAGGTTTTCTCCGCTCTCCCTCTCAGACAAAAGGAAACTGGGCAGAGACAAGTTTTTCCCAAACGGAAATGAGAAAAACTTGTGCGCGAATCCTTCTCCTTCTTTGCCTTGCAATCGGCTGCCTTGGAACTAATTTTAATGACAATTCACAAGGCGCGGATGTCGCGACATTCGGGATAATGTGAAAATGAGCTGGCCATTGCCAAAAAAGAAAATAGGGAATCCATGGGGTGTGGCCAACCCCGAAAATGCAGATTTTCCCATTTCCCTAAACCGCCTCCTTACCCCTTTTTTCCATTTCCGCGGCCAGCTTTACTTTCTCAGCGGTTTCTTTGCACTGTTTGGCAGCCATTAATCATAAATGTGGAAAACGGAATTAACTGCAGAGGATTTTCCTTGGCTGCCAGGGAAATTGCAGAAAAAGTGAGAAGGACTTCTCCTTTCATTTTTCTGCTTAAGGAAAATGTTTACCAATGATGTCACATGCTTGTTAATTTCTTGTTCATTATAATTACAGATTATAGTAGTTGAAAAAGGAAATTAAAATGTGCTTAAGAATTTGTACTATTCTAAAAAATTACACCTTGCTTAATTCTTCAAAAATAAGTTAACTTTCCCCTTTCTGCTTTGAAATCAAACTTGTATTAATTGAGTCATTTGAATTTGATTAGTTTTTAAAGGGAATTCCCCCGGAAAAAGTATTAATTACAGGGTGTCAGGGCATTTCCCGTTCAGTGCAACGACCCTCCTTTGACTCTCTATGGGACTCCCTGGAAACTCTGACTTTTTGGTGCCATGCGAGTATCCTTTTGACATGTCGCCTGTCCGCTTATCGGAGCGAGTGCATCGCCCCTGTCCAGTATCCTGCTCACCCTTTGCCTACAGAATTTTCCATTTTCCTTTACAGGGCATTTCCCCGCTTTCCTTCTCGATGCTATCTGTGAGTGTGCTCTAGTTTCCAGTTTTGCCTGACCCATTATTAGCTGTGAAATGCATGAATGTCCTTCTCTCTCTCTCTGTGTGTGTCCTTTGTCCTTTGGGACTTGATTTCCTTTCGCATTGGACATTTCCTGTAATTTTTCATTGGGAAAACTAGAGGCAGATCTTTGGTTAAAAACGTTCCAAATTAGCGCCTAGGGAAATGCCAGAAAAAAAGGAAAAAGAACTTGACTTGGAGCCCACAGAATGGCATTTCCCAGTGTGGCAGATTGACTGCAAGGTGTTTGGTAGTTCTTAGTTCTTAGTTCCCTTCCTGTGTGTTTTTCCCACATTACTCTAGGGGAATATATATATATTTATGTATATATTTTAACCCAAAACTTGTACTTGGTTTAGCTAGAATAACCTCTCTCTGAGGCTTCTTTTTCGAAGCCATCTATCTTTTTGCTTGTCAACACCACATTGCTTTGTTCTCTCTAGGTCTGAGCTGTTGTTGGTAATTGTTTTTCTCCAAACCTCTACCCCATTTTCTTCCCATTTCCCTGAGTTTTCCCTAGGTTTTCCCTCCACTCCCATTGTAACTTGCTACATTTTGCGGCTAAACTTTAAACACGCGCAATGCGCTGCGCATGCCAAATGAGTTAGGGAACCTTACCGAAAAAGACTGAAAATTCAGGCGGCCATAAATTTGCATTTAATGAACATTTCGGGAGAGAGAAGAACAAAAAGCCCTAGAAGATGCCCCGCCTCCTGCCGGAATTAACGCTTTTTGTTTGTCCGTAATGGCTTTTAATTATGTGGGCGGTTGCATATAACGAGACGAGTGACGCGGATGCTAAATGAAAAGGTTCTTTCGCCGGCGCAGGCGTAACCGCAGCACACACACAGGAAGCGAACTGTTTGGTGGGTGTTTTTAGCAAAGAAAACAAAGAAAATGTACTTTGGAAACCCAAATCTGATGCATCAGATTTCAGTTGGTTTAAAAACCAAAAACTCTGTTCGCATCACATCACATCGCCGTTCCATTGTTTGGCCATTTTTGCAGTTGACTTTAGCACAATCTCTCCCTCTGATTCCTGTCTTGCTTTTGGTTTTATTGCCGCTTTGATTTCATTGCCATTTGTCGAACAATTCATGTGAAAAATTGTCATAAAAATGCAATAAAATTGTTTTGGTCCACGTAATTCGATCGAAACGACAGTGAAAATAGTTGTAAAAATCTCTATGAAATGCATGTTGCACAGCTTGTTCGAACTCTACAGAAACATCGTTAAATTTATGAATTTATGTATAGAAATGCTGTGAAATGTGAAGCAATTTTATTGCCTTGAAAAAATGGGTTAAGTTTGATGGGAAAATATATAGGTAAAGGTTAAGGGGTTGACATATATAAAGTTTAAAGTATTTTAAGGATTTTTGAGGTATTAAATTAAGGGAAAATGTTTATAAATCTCTCCGCTGTCACATATACAATATAACTCAACAGAAACCACCTCCAAAGATTCCTTATAATCACCATCTGTTAGTAGTTCCGCCTCTATATCCTATATCTTCTCCAATTACCCAACTCTAGAACGGGGTACAATCTATACTTTCACCGCCACTTTAACCCAAAACAGGCACTCGAAAACTATCAACACATTGGATACATATCACAGAGACATTCGTAGAAGTTTGAAATCATCAGAGGACATGTTTTTGATATCCTTTTCCCATAACTGTCATCATTTCATATGCGAGAGAGCTCCACTTGGATGGCAAAGGGAATGGGAATGGTAATGGGAATGGGAATGGGAATGGGTAGGTGTTAATTTACGAGTGTCAGGCAGCGGAGGAGGAGCTCCTACTTCTGTTAAAAATAAACAGAGATTGAGAGTGAGTGAGCGGTGGATTGGAGGACTCCGTTCTGTGCTATTTTCAAAAATTTGGAGCATGTCAGCAGCTGCAATAGCAAACGTCAAAAGGACATTGCATAACGCAGAGTAAACATCCTTCTTTGTACTCTCCTCCACTCTGTGTTCATTTCGAGGCGTTCGTCGTTTGTATGTCAACATAAACTTTACAAAAAAAAAAGGCAAGAACACTGAATTTCACACACAAGACTCACACAAAAAAGTACGCACTAGTGACAATAAAAACTCGAGAAAGAAATATAAGAACTCGCAACTCAACAGGAAAATATATTCGAGTGGCCACTCATAATTCTTTTGAGTAGAGAGCAGCTTCAAAAAATGTTCGAAGATTGAAGAAAAAGGCTTCAGGATATGTTTAAAGAGCTCTTGACTTTCAAAAGGAAAATAAAGTTGGTAGAGAAAAAGGAAATTAGGTAATGTTAGAGGGATAATTTTAGTAGCTAAATTATTAGGGAAAGTTATTAAAATAAGTGAGAAGAAACTCTAGGTTAAAGAATTAAAAAAATGTAATTATATAAATCACCATTTGTAAATTAATGCATTTCAGTTCTAAAATACTAAACAATATATTGTAACACAATTTTAAAATCAACTTTCATGACCTATAAACTTAGATTAATTCACAGAAATCCGTAAAATAACCTTTTATGGCAGTATCCTTTTAGAAAATCAACTCTTGGTTAATTTCTTGAGTCCCCTAAGTACCTAATACATTTAATTTATAATTTCTTATGAAACCTTTTTTATAAAGTAAATGCTATCCTTAGAAAACCATCGATCATTCCTTGAGAATACCTCAACGAGACGCTGTCAAAGTCAGGAAGTCTTGAGCTTTCTAGTGGGCCTCTTTGATCGTGTTCACATTCCCAGACCGTACCGAATCTTAACCCCTGTTCAAGTCGGAGGTTAACCCTCTGGTGGCACTTGAGTTTTGCTCAGTCAATTGAAGTTTTCCACATTACTTTACCCTTTTTTTTGCTCTTTGGCTGTCTCCGAAGCATGAAGAGATTGCGTGCTTTGCGAATCTGAAGCTCAGCTGTTCGCTTTCGCGTGCCCAGTTATTAACCCGCTTCCTGTCTTCCTTTTTGTGTGTATTTCTTGCAGACGTCAGCACGCCTTTATGGCCAACACACAAAAGCAGCCGACCGGCAGCGGCGGCGGAGGAAGTGGCGGTGGCAGCGTCACCCACAGTCCGGAACGCCTGCGCGGAGGAGCCACCCAGGATCTGTTTGAGCTACTGGAGCGTGTGCAGTGCTCGCGACTCGATGACCAGCGCTGCGTCCTGCCCGCGTACTTCTCTCAGGTGAGTTCAGAAACCACATCAAAAGACAAGAAACTTTTATAAAATCCAACCAAGGGGAACCTCATGTCATAGGAAATAGAGTTATTGCATGTCTTGTGGGATTTAATAAGAAGATTTGCAAGAAAAAGGGTTTATGTGCAGAAAATAGCAAAGAGATTGCAAAGAAAACTTTCAAGTATTAAAAAAATGGTAAATATATTTATTAATTAAATTTGAAAGTGTCAAAATGAAATATAATGTATTTGTTGAAGATTTCTTCACCACTTTCTGTTTTAAGGGTTTCAAAATCAGTTTAAACATGAAAGAAACTTAAACCCTTTTTCATTTGCTTGCTTAATGTGACCTTATCTGATTTTAGGTCAAGTGTGACCTTGGCTAATAAATATCTTGGCTATAAAACCACACTTTCTACCATTTTGCTTTCCTTATTGATAAATATGCCACAAAAATGAGGCAATGCAACCCAGTTAACCCAAAAACCAAACATGACAGCACGATAAACCACTGCATGACCAACCTCAATAGGGCTGGGCAATTGTCCAGTTGGATGGGGATGGGGTCATTGTCCCATTTGGAGTCGAGTCGCCTTGTCCCCGAGCATATGCTCCACTAATCCGAGTGTGTGATGGACTGACCCATAAAAGTCCAACTTGCAGTTGCAATATATATATATACATATATATATATACCTCATCTCAACTGCGGCAAGGGGAGAGTTGTAAAAATTTCATTTAACTGCTGACTGGCTGGCTGGCCATAAAAATTGCCAATGGGACAATGAATGGGGAATTTGGAAGTAAAAGTGGAAGTGGTTGTAGAGGGAGGATCGAAACAAAGAGCCACACAATATACCACATCCTCAGACCAAAGAGGAGGAGTTGAAACTACAAAACAGCGCGACTTGTACCTTTCCGAAACATCTGTATATAATTTGACATAATCTGCGCTTTGTTGTGGTCTTTTTGCCGGGTTCCGGGTGTCTTGTCTGTCCCCCTTGGTTTAATAGGCAAATTGTTTGGCTGTCATGGGTTAATTCTTATGGGTGCGGGTGTGTGGTGTGTGCTGTCTAGGATTAAGTGGTTGGTTGAGTCGTATTGGGCACGGTTTGATGTCGATTTTTACGATTATTCAGCTGCGGTCTTTTAAAGTTTCTATTTTTTGGCAGCTGTCAGGTGTGGCGGCGGGCCTTTCTTTCTTTTATCGTAAAGTTTATTAGCGGCATTTTAAAGAATTTTTTACTAATGTTTTATTGGAGTTTCCTTAGGGGTTTGGTTAAATTAAAAGTGTTTTTTTGTAGGCATTTTTCTTAGAAATTTGAAGGTTTCCTTTGAAACAAGAAGAAAAACGATATTACTTGTCAAGTGACGCCACTGGCGGGCTTACCCGGCAGTTTTATTGTGAACTAGCATTTTGAAGTGTTCTTTGAACAGCCGTTAGAGGTCGCTTAAGTTGATCCACCTAGCGGATTTTTGGGAAACTAAACCTGTGGTAGCGCCCTCAAGTGTTTGTCATAGGAACTATTAGAATGGTAGTATAGCTTTTATTTCACAGGTGGCGCCATTAAATTATTAATTTATAAAGAAATTAAATAAATCGTAGAAAAATAGGTATTCGTATAAAAACGTTAATAAAATAATATTTAAAAGAATAATAATTAAATAAAATAAATAAATGATTTAAAAAGGCTATAAAAGCTTTTAAATGTTTTCAGATAACCCAAAAGAATTAAATACGACTATTATACAGAGAACTATATTTAGGTCATATAAATACAAAAATAAATAAGAAATAATATAGAATTAAACAGTCAAGATTATTTAAATTGTTATTTCTCTCTTTTAACTTCCTAAAAACATGTAAATGTATTAAAAATTCATAATAATTCCCCAAGCCTTCCATATGTTTCATATTATACCTTTAATTTAAATTTCAACTTGCAACTTCTTGACCCAATAAATCCTCGCTTCCCTCAATTAAGCCGCTTAAAACTAGCACCCTTTAAGAAAAAAAACTCAAACTTAAAAGTCCCCGTTTAATCCCTTGTCAAATTTCTGGAGCATAATCCACTTGGCCTTCCTCAAGAATTATAACGTTTCCTGTTTGGCCTTTTCTCAATGCTCTTGCTCCTCCCTGGACCCTTGGTCGTGCAGCCAAGCAAGTTGCCTTTAGCCCTTTTCAGATTTTAATTTAGTTTTCGCAACAATTTCGGAGGCAAACTTTTCTATATCAAAAGGCAGGACAGCAGTTGTGCCCTCGGCTTTCCCCTTATCCACAAGTGGTTGGGTGCAGCCAAAGTGCAGCCCGCATCCCCGAAGCCAACATATATGCCACATTTTCTCAAGACTCGAGACTCGAGACTCAAGACTTTAGACTCAGCCTCTCCTCATCCGCATTCGAGTGCCTCTTTTTGTGCCAGGAAACTTTTATGCAGGCCTTCTTCATCTGGCCAAGGAGGGTTAAAGACGTAGACGAAGTCTGGCTAAAAGTCTCGCCTCGGATTTTGAGGGAAAACTGGGTTGCAGGCTGTGTGTGTGTTCTTATACGAAATGAAAATTATGTTTGCTCGAGTTGTGAAAATTGAATTTGGTTTCTCAGGTCCAATGACTGTCAAACTGTGAGGTAGGAAAAGACATTCGCCATTCCTGGGTGTAGTGTGTGTGAGACTTTTCCTCACTGTGCATATTTTCATGGGCCATGGCATGCCTCTGGGTATGGTTTTTCCCACTGCTTTTCCTCTTTTTTTCTCCATTTGGGTTCACTATTTTATTTGCCTGCGTATCTATGCTCTCCCCATTGCATAGTTTCTCGCACGTTTTTTCCAACAGCATACTTTGGGGCTAATAAAGGTTTGCTTGGGCATGTTTAAATTTCCAACGCCACACACCACCCTTCGCTCCCCACCCCCCTGGGCGTCGTCCTTGGCGGCTAATTAAGCTGCCCAAATACCAGTTGTTTTTTGGGTTGGCATTTTTGTGCACCGAAAAAACAGGGGATTAAAATGTTATAAATTAAAATATTACATATTTAAATACGTAATATTCACCCTAAAATAAATATTACATTTTAATTAATTACATTTAGTTTAATTTCTTTAAAATCCTAGTGTTTAAAGCTGATAGCTATTACAACCAAATAATTCTTTACTGACATCTTTCATTTAATTATTTACTAAAAGGTCCCTCAAAACAGATTTCAAATTAATTTAAAATTGTGCTAATAATACACAGATGAACTTTAAATCAGGAAATCTTAAGAATTTACAATTAATCTTGAGCCTTAAATAAAACAAACCTCATTGCATATTAAAAGAGCTTTTGAGAACCTTGAAGTAAATTCTTGAACTACAAAAATAAATCCTTTTACAAGATTTAAATCCCAATTTAAATGGTTTTTGAATTTTAATATATTAAAATTTATTTTTCATTGGCAAAAGTCAATTGGAGACTTCGTTTTCTTAACAAAATTATACAAAATGATGAAGTTTACATAGCATTATCAAACAACTAAATTCCCTAATTAATTGTTTTTCTTATTTAAAATTTTTAAAGATATGCATATATACATTTTCCCCTGCACTATTTCTTGTGTTTTGCCAACTTTTTGTTGGCTGCTTTTTCCACCTTTTGTTACTTTCGTTCCCATGAAGCCGGAAATCTGGGGCCTTTTGTTTTATGGAGGAGAACCCTCTGCCATCTAAGATTCGCTGGAAATTTATGCCTGGCTCCCTCCCTGCTCCGCCCCAACTTGCTTGGCTCTCTCACACTCTCTGTCTCTCCCCTAATTCTCCCTTCCTTTGGCATTATAAAAATATACTTTGGCCATTTCATTTCGGTTGTTTTGGACCGCTTTGCCTGTTTCTTGCATATTTTTCACGGGCTCATGCCCCCGTTCTCTCCCTCAGACACTCTCACACACACATTAGAAGTCTCTTATGTCTTTGTCTCAGTTTGTGCAATTTGTCTCACTCGCCTCCTCTGGCCACCACCCCCGGGATTCTCCGTGTCTCCCAAAGTCTCTCCGTAGTCCTCTCCGACTCTCCCCGCTTCCCTTTTGGCAGCTCAGAGTGCGCTTTGGACTTGGACTCGCTGCAAATGCAACGAACGTTGAAGTTGTTAATTGCAATGGTCGTCAGCCGCAACGACAACCTCGTCCGTCTCCATCTCCATCTCCATCTCCGTCTCTTTCTCCGCCTCAGTTGCTGTCTCTTTCGAGTGCAGACCCTGGTCGAAAGACCGGAGATCCGAGGCCGGAGCGGAGCAGCCTACTCCCACAGTCAGCGCCAGTGAAGTGAGCTGCATAATCATAGGCGGAGAAACGGCGATAGAAAGAGCAGCTACACTGAGAAAAATTACTAGCTAAAAGCAGGAAATTGCTTTTTATATAAAATTTATCTTTATATTTGTATCTATGAATATGCCAAGACATATTTAGGGTGCTTATACCCCAAAATATCATTTGTAGGCTATTTTTCGGGGTCACTTTATCATATTTGAAAGTAAAACTATAATACCCTGTAAGGGTATCACAAGGTATTCTAATTTTAGTCAGAAGCATAAAAGAAAGTGAAGTAGTCATTTCCGACCCCATAAATCATATATATTATTGATCAGCATTATCAGCTGAATCGATCTCGTCATGTCCGGTTCAAAAAATAAATGTTCGAAAATTTTTCAAAATTTCAAATTTTTATAAGGGGTTACATCATTAAAATTGTCAAAAATGGCCAAAAATTTTAATTTTCTAAAACTTTTCATTTAGTATGCAGATTTATAAATCAAATAAAAACTAACATAGAAAAGCTTTCCGAATTAAAATTAATGCGTTTTTGGCTTAGTTATGAGTTTTTTAAAATTAGATTTTCCCATAAAAGTCAGGAAATAATGCAAATATTTTAAGCGTTATTATGATCGATTTCCTATACGAACTTAAAATTCAATTGCAAACTGCTAGGGTATATAACCTTCGACTTTCCTAAGCTAGTTTCTTTCTTGTTTATTTAT